CTATATCATAGCGTATGGTCTTGGAATATTTTTACTCAATCAACTTATACTTTTCTTAACACCTAAACTCGATCCATCACCAGTCAACATTGATGACGATGATAATGTACCAAATTTACCAACAAAATCAACTGATGAATTTCGACCATTTATTCGTCGTTTACCGGAATTTAAGTTTTGGTATATAACTTTTAAAGCATTAATTATTAGTTTAATTTTAACATTATTTTCAATATGTGATGTCCCCGTGTATTGGCCTGTATTGCTAATTTATTTTATTGCATTATTTCTTTTATCAATGAGACAACGTATAATACATATGATACATTATAAATATGTTCCATTTACATATGGAAAAGTTCGATATGAAGGAAAAAATGTAGGACAACAAGGAATAAAATTTTCAACAAATTGATTGTTTTTGTTTTTTTGTTTTGTTATATTTATAATCAAAATAGAACAAATGACTAGCACATTATTTCGATATTTTTCAAGCTAATCGATTTTTTTTTTACTTTGAGATTGATATACATATATACATATAATGGGAATTCATAATTTAGCAAAATTAATTGCTGATCAAGCACCGGCAGCTATCAAAGAAGGAGAAATGGCAAATTATTTTGGCAGAAAAATTGCTATCGATGCGTAAGTCATGACTTTGTTGTCATTGATATATGATGTTCAAAAGTAAACTATTTAAGACCATGAGAGTATGTTTCATTATTCTATATTAAAAATACAATCAATAGATTCAGTTAATATCTGATGAAAACTAAGCAAAGATACTAAAATTTGAACATCGATAGAATAGTTTCAACAAAGACTTTAATTTGGTGTTTAAGGGTATACTGAAATATCATTTTATAAAAACAATGATCTAAAATACTATTACCACATGGGCTATTTCAGGCTAAATAGAACATACTCGTCTTTCATTGTATGTCTATTCTTTACAAAGATTATTTTTCTGAATAAGCTCTTTTAGCATAGACATATATAGAACTGTTGGTTCTTTCAAACTGACTATTCATTAAAAAGTGAATAAAGAAGATCTCTCTGACCAAATAAGAAGAAAAAAAAACCGAAAATTTTCGAATAAGCTCTACGCCATGAACTACATCTATTGTGAAATGGTCATCAAGATCGAACTGCAAAGAACTTCCTTTTAAAAAATTAGTTGTTTTAAGACACTATCAAGTCTCGAAACAAAAGTTTTTGTCTTATTATCGTCATCTAAAGGTTCTAGAGAAGCTTTTGTATTATTAGGAATGGAATGTGATGCTCTCATTCGGTTATAAGATGATTTTTTTGTTTGTATATTCGTATTCCATCATGTTGCTAGCGAAAATTAATTTGTAGTTTTTTTTTGAAGAATCTAGGCATACTCAGAGAAAAACTTGAGACAGAGATTTTTGTAGCCTCAACAATCGTTTTCATGTAGTTTTCAAAAACATTGTCTCAATTGAGACTTTTTATTTCCTACTATTCACAGCCATTTAAATCCTTTCATTGATACATTTGCGAAATATAATGATGATAATTGAATAGGAGCAGAAAATTGTCTTGATAAAAAAGCATGGAAGTTATGCATACCGTTGAAATAACATGAATATATGAAACATTGATTGAATCAAATGTGGATCTGTCAACAATAAACATTTAGAAAAAAAAAACCTTGCTATTGAATAAGAAAACTCTGAAGGTTATTAAATTCAATATTCTTATAAATTTTCTCTGAATGATAGTTCAATGTCTATTTATCAATTTCTAATTGCTGTTCGACAAAATGGTGAAAATTTAACAAATGATAATGGTGAAACAACTAGTCATTTAATGGGCATGTTTTATCGAACAATACGTATGATTGACCATGGTATTAAACCAGTTTATGTATTTGACGGAAAAGCACCACAAATGAAATCTAAAGAATTAGAAAAACGTCTTGAACGACGTACTGAAGCTGAAGCTGAAATGACTAAAGCAGCTGATGCTGGTAAATGAATATTTCATATAGAAAAAAGTGATCAAAAATTTCCTTAGAAAAAAGAATATTCCTGTTTTTTTTTAAGGCGATGAAGAAGCATTTGATAAATTTGTTCGTCGAACGGTTAAAGTAACTCGAGAACATAATGAAGATTGTAAACGTTTATTAAAACTGATGGGAATACCATATGTTGATGCACCAACGGAGGCTGAAGCACGTAAGATTTATTTATATATACTTTTTTCAATGATTATCCTATTTTGTTTTATTTAAGAATGTGCAGCACTTGTTAAACAAGGAAAAGTTTATGGCGTTGGAACTGAAGATATGGATGTAAGAGAAAGGACAAGAGTGGATAAGACTTTTTTTTTCTACTTCATACCAATGCTCACTTTTTTCAATCATTCTATAGTAAAACATGATGCTTCATGGTATTTCATACGTTAGTTTTTGTACAGCTGACCGAAAGAAGAAGATGCATAGGTGGAAAAAAGAATATCAAGAAGTACCTAAAATAGGATTGTTTTTCTTGTTCATTAAAAGGCTTTGCGTACTCAATATATTGATGTTCGTAATCCACACATTTGAGTCAATCAAAAAATATACATTTCAACGGAATGAAAGATAAAACGTTTTCGAGACAACCTAGTGGAGGACTTCAGACCTTAAGAACCTGTTGATCAGCTGTACAAAACTGACATACGGAATATCATCAAGCATTATATCTTGCTACAAAACGATAAAAAACGCGATTTTTGTTGTGAAACAGAAAAACGATCTTATCCACCATTGTCCTGTTTCTTTATTTCTTTTAACTTTTTGTTGCATCTTTTATTTAGGCTTTGACATTTGGTGCTGATGTACTTATACGTCATTTGACTTTTAGTGAAGCACGGTTAGTTCCATATAATATGTGCATATAAAATAAAATTTTTATATTTGAATTTATAGAAAAATGCCTATTCGTGAATATTCATTATCAAAAATTCTTCACAATTTAGGAATTAATTTTGAAGAAGTATGAATATTATTTCTTCGGATGTCATCCCATATGTTTCTTTTGTTTTTATTTAGTTTACTGATCTATGTATATTACTTGGCTGCGACTATTGTGATTCAATAAAAGGTATTGGACAAAAACGTGCACTTGATTTAATTAAACAATATCGTAATATTGAAACTATTCTTAAACATATCGATAAAAAAGTAGATCTAATAGAATTTATTTGTATGTAAAATTTTTCTTCTATTTTTGGATTAAATAGAAATATGGTGTACCTGAAGATTGGGCTTATGAACAAGCAAGACAATTATTTAAAGAACCTGAAGTTTTACCAGCTGATGCAACTGATGTTTGTTTTCTTACTAGTTGTTTATTTTTTCGAAATTTTTCTATTGAATTTTAGCTTAAATGGACTGATCCTGATGAGGAAGGTCTTGTAACATATATGGTTAATGAAAAAGGATTTTCGTAAGTAAAAATTTAAACAATTTATTAAAGAAACAGAAAGATCTTCGCTGCAAATGGTATGCAGAGAGATCAATGTCAAAGACATAGAACAGATTGAGAAATTATCAAAAATATAACGTTGAAAGTGCGCTTCAACGTGAATCTATGAACGGAACTTTGATTTATTCGTGTATAAAAATACTTTTATGCAGATGAATTATTTTAAAGCATTCGGCTACAAACATTACTCTCATCTACAAAAACTTCATCTTTTGAAAACTTGTGTCCAATCGTGCAAATATTTTCCGATGAGTCTTCTATTGTGTGTCATGTATATTCAAAACTTTTAATTTGCAATGGTTTGTCATAAAGTCATAACGATTTTGAGGATATAGGAAGGAACTTTTTCAGCTGAAAGCTCCAAAAAATGGGGATATTCTGATGTAAATATATTGATTAAACTTTTGATTTTGTGAGAAGTTAACTAATTAAGAAAAGTCTCCTTTGGCAAGGAACAGTTTAGTACATCTTACATACTGTTTATAAAATAACCACAAAAAGAAGTAGAATTTTCTCAACTTTTCATAGGTAAAATTTTCGATGAACATTAAAAAAATTAGGATTGAAATATAGAAAAAAAAATGACGTAACTTACTATCAAATGAATAATATATTCAAAAGTCCCAAGTATTTTTCTACTATCAACAACGACAAATATTCATTTAACTAACAACTATTTACATTCAACAGCAATACAAAATAAGTTTTTTCTGTGGCTCCTCTCCCCTTCCTCTTGCAGACCTAGCTATAGAGGACAACACATTTATTTGTTAACCAGATCAACAGTTAAAACAATAATAATGTTAAATTAAGAAAAACACAGTACGAAAAGAAAAATAAGGAGCGAATTTCAACTCGACAAAGGTAAAAAAAATAGAAAAAGAATTCTATTCGACATACAGAGATAAATAACACCGATCACTTCTCTGGTAATCGATTATTTCGGAAAAAACTATAGTCTGCAAGAGAATTTTCCCTCTGTATACTCTCTATTTGTATAACGAAGCTACAAAACACATGTGAGTTTTATATGTCAGCTCCAAGGAAGTTGTGCTCGGAAGCTTTTTCCATTATAATGATGTTAAATGAATCTAAGATAAATTGTTCTTAATGTAAACATTTTCGAAATGTTAAAGAATGCGGGTATCACCTATAAAATTTGTTATCATATTTTATTTATTTCAAAATTTTTTTTTAAATAAATTATTTAAATTCGGCTGACAATACACCATAAGTTAACAATAACTATAGTTTATGAATTCCACACATTGGTCCCTCATGGGATCATATTGACAAGTGTTTTTTTTTCTTTTATCTTTAACAGTAATATATATCTATATCATATTATAAGCTTGGCTTCTAGGTTTATTTTATTTAATCAGAAAAAATAAATAAATGAATCATATACATGTAAATATAGTAGTTTTGAATTAGTAATATAGACGATGAAAAAAGAAAAAACGAATGACAATGTTTACTAATCATTTCTAATGATTTGATTAATTAATCGTTATGTAAACGTGTACTCATTTCATCAAGAACTGAAATAAGGTCACCATTTTTTGAACGTATAAGTTGAAGAAGATTTTCATCTGTATCATCAAATCCCATTGCTTTCATTTTTTCAACACATTCTTCTACTGCTTTTTCCGTTGATGATGATTGCGACGCATCATTTGAATTATTAGCTGATGCTGTTGATGAGATATTTCCAGTAGTACGAAACATATTTAACCATGATGAAATTCCTCTTTGTTGTTGTTGTTGTTGTTGATTGTTCGTTGTTTGGTTATTTGTATTTGAAGTTTTTGGTACAGCACTTGGTTCCGATGACATTGTATTTTCATTTGTTGATGTTTCTTGTTGAGCATTTCTTGTTGATGATGTATTTTCATCAACATGATAATCACAATCAATACCAAATGGTGATAATGCTTGTTGTAAATATTGACCAACACTTTCAAGATATTGTTTTGAATTTTGCATTTGTGTTTGTGTATTTGTTTTAATATTATCAAAATGTTGTTGCATATGAGCACGAAAATGTGCTGTATTTTCTCGATTAGGTAACCATTGTGGAATTTGTGTTTGAATTTGTTCAAAAAATTCTGCATTTGGTACAAATGGTGGTGATAACATATGACGATAACGACGATTATTCTGACGTGAACCGTAAGGATGATAAAAATTTCCTGGTTTAGTTATTTTAATCATATTATGTTCTGAATGAATATCAGATGATGAACATTTTTCACATAAATCATAATTTGGACATACAGCACATTTATAACGAACACCAATAATTGGACCTTTACAATTGTCACATTCAACACCAGTATGACATTCTTTATTCGTTGTAGTTTCTTGTTGATTTATAGATTGATTAATAGTAACAAAAATTTTAAGAGAATTAGAATCTTTATTTGATGATATAGCTGAACGTAATTCTTCATTTGAACTAAATGTAATACGTTCATTTTCTTCATCAATATATTGAAGTGTAAAACCATTTAATTGAATATCAGGTTGATATGTTGCAATTTTGGTACATAATTCTTGATAAATATCATTGTTTGGTGAAATATCAATCTAAATTATTTAGTTTCTTTTATTTTATTTGAAAGAATGTATTTACAGTATACTTACTGCAAATCGACGAATTTCTGGTTGTTGTTGTTGTTTTGTATAATATACTTTAACGTAATAAGTCGAAGTCATGTTATCTTTTTGGTTTTTTTGTGAGCACGATTGAATACGGTAGGAAATGTAATGGACAAAGTAATTTCGTCGCTTATATTTATATTTTATTTTTCTAGAAAGAGAAAAACAAAGTATAGTATGACTCATAAGATTGAGAAAAATGGAGAACGAAGAATGAGTAAATAGGCTTGGTAAGAAAATAAAAGAACTCGAACGAAGAGTAAAGCATGACAAAGTTTTGACATCAACATTTTTTTTAAGAGCTGTTTTTTCCGTCTGTGGGATGATTTGACGGAATAAATGTAAGGAATAAAAAGAGAAAATATTTTCAATGAAGAAATATACATGCAAAACAAAAAATAAAGAACCAATGCAACTTATAAGAGAGAAAAACTAGTTGACGTAAGCCATCTATAGAATAGATGTCCTGGGACGACATAGAACTATTATTAATACAACATATTAATTTCCAAATATCGAAAAATGCTTAATTGTTATTCTAGTGAAGATCGTATTCGTAATGGTTCAAAAAAATTAATAAAAGCTCGAACAACAACTCAACAAGGTCGTCTTGATACATTCTTTTCAGTATCTCGTACTATTTCGACGGCAGTACCAACTGTTAAAAAAACTGTATGTGATTACTTGAATCATACTTTAAAAAAATGTATCAATAAATTATTTCTTCAACGTTTATTTTTAGGAAAGTCCAATAGCTGCTAACAAAGGTCTTAAACGTAAAACTGGACCAACAACTGATAATAAACCAAAAGGAAAAGCCGGTGCTGGTTCAACTAAAAAACCTAAAGTTAAATAAAAGAAAAATAGTTAATTAAACTCATTATTTCGTTAGCCATACCATTTAATAAAGTATTTATTGTTGATATCGTTGGCAAGATTTATTTTTGTATCGAATGTATTTTTTTTTTCTTTTGCTGTTGTTGTTGTTGTTGTTCTTGTCTATTTTCTTGTTCAATAAGGCGATATGTAATGATGAAATAAATGCAAGAATAAAAACATTGCCGAACTGATGATAAAACAAAGTTATATTTTCTAGAAAAATAAAAAAAACAGTTTTTTCTATAATGTCTTCATCAAATTCAAATACTCAAACAAAAGTAAGTGAAGACTCATTTGTTTTTAATTTTTACACAAAATGGAAATCAGGTTGTAATTCAAGA